CTATCAGGCATCGGAGGGCTCCTCTGCGCGCGGCGTCTCGGACGCCGAGGACTCCGATGCGCAACGAGCGGAGCCAGAGCTTCTCTCCGCCCGAGGCTTCGGGCAGGTGCTTCAAAATGCACCTGGCTTGCCGGCGCTGGATGCCTGCCTGGAGCCCGAGTCTCTGGTCGCGAGGCGAACGACGCAACAGGTTGAAGGCCGCGCCTTCGTCTGAAGTAATAACGTGCGCTGCCGACATGGACCAGCCGACGCGCTGAAGCGAGAGGGGCGCCGCGCTGACTGGGCCACGACACGAATTCCAAGTGGTCCTGTCAAAAATCTGGTCACGTAGGCGCATCCGCGCTCTCTGCAGACGACCAAACGAGAATCTAGCGTCCCATATCATGCCGGCGTATCGCTGTATCAGAGGCACCGTCGCATCGAATACAGGGTCGTAGAACGGATCGACCTGCGTGGCCAGCCAAGCTGTGAGAGACCCAGAGCGTTTGGCACCTACGAGAGAGCCAGCCAGTGTGCGCAGCGCCATCAAAGATGGGTCGGTGAGTCCGCTAACTCCTGCGCCGTGGCCTGCTGCTGGCATCAAGCCAGTCCTCCAGAGCATCTGTGCCTTCCCTGGAGCTCCGCGACGCAACGCAGCAAGCTTGGGGCGGCGACGAAATACTTTCTTGAGCCGAGCTCTCTCTTGGGCCCTTTGAGGCCTTCCAGAGAACACTTCATGGCCCAGGTTGCGCATGTGGGTGTAGCTCCGCAGTTTGAGGATGCGAGCCGACGACGACACTCTGGACGACGCTTTAGCTGCGGTGGCTACAAACCCACTCTTGAGAACCTGCAGGATCAGGACCAAAGAAAAACTTGATGGCAATGCCACCGCGCCGCGGCGAGTAGCACGTCGCACTCGCACAGCCGCCTACCTACCCACTGGAAGCTAGAGTCATCCATGAGGATTCGCGGCTGCACATTTAAATAGAGTCTGCACATCTTGCTGACCACGCGGTGGAGGAGCAGATGCATCATCGTGTTAGCGTGGCTGCAGCCAGCTAGTATCCCTTGATGCGTGACGACACAGCGCGACACGGAACCGAACGCCTGCGCGAGACGAGGGCACCGATGCAGCGAGAGGAGCACCCACATCATTCTCAAGGGATACGCTAGCTCACAAGCCTCGGTTAAAAGCCGGGGGACAATGCTGCATCCATAGCATTTCAAGATATCAAGGAACACGCTTACCGAGTACTCCCCCACCGCCGTAGCCACCCCCGCCTTCACGTTATGATCGAAGGCCGCGTCCGTAGAGCTGGCTCTTGGACCGTGGCCCCAGACATATGGGTGTCGGTGGGGGCGACGCTTGCGAGATTGGCTTCCTAATCTTGCCCCGCAGACACAGCAACGAATTGAGCAGAGCAATGAGGCGGTGTCCGCCTGTCGGCTTGCCGAGCCGAATCAGGCGAGTGTGGATGCGATCTACAGGCCAGGGGCTCAGCTTCTCACATGCCATGAAGAGGGGCGCGAGGACCTCCAGGCCGTCGTCGGACACCTGGTTCAGCGCCTTCGGGTTGAACGCAAGCTGGCCCAGCGCCGTGCGCGTCGGGAACGACGCTGCAGTAAGGCGGATGTTGGCGACAGTGATTGGCGGTAAGCTGTCCCGCGTGTCAGCGCTTTGGGGTAGCGGGACTGCGGTGCGCTCGTGCATGCTCCAGATCTTGTCCCATTCGCCAATGCAATCATCTGCTCGCTGGAAGGGCTGAGGCCTGGTGTCGGCAGCTGCAAGTTCCTGGGTCTCCTTGGGCCTGGAAAACCTATGCGCTGCTCCTGCCCCACTAGTGAAAGACCTCTCCGCCCAGGCCGACCACTCCTCGCTAGAGACGGTCAGCCACTCCTGAATCTTGGCCCCAGCGAGGTCGATCAAGGGTTGAACCGCCTGGTCGAAGTTGGGGTCGACGAAGCTAGGCGGCACGTCGGACATGAAAGCCTTGGCTTCAGGTGTCACGCGCTCGGGCACCCACTGGGTCTTGGCCACTCTGCGCGCGAAGCCGTGCAGGAAGTACAACTGCTTGGGCATGGCCATGAGGTTGCACTCGAAGCCGCCGTCGTGGCGGCTGGCCACTTGCGACAGCAAGTTGACTCGAGCCGATCGCAGGTGTCGAAGCCATCTCGCCAAGGCCTTCCAAGCATTGAGGTCGGACGGCTCGTTTGGCTTCGGCGCCTCGGCCTCCTTCCAAACGTGCTGAGGTGGGCCAGCTCTTCCAAGATAAACCTTTCGAGCAGAACTCTCCAATGTATCATTGCGACCCATTGCTTCTGCTTCCAGACCAGTGAGAACATAATCCCAGCACGCTGCAATATCATCAGGAGACTGGGCATTTTCACACATTATTGATCATGCGCCATTCAGCAACTGGAGGGAAGCGACCGCACCCAACCTTGGGCGTGACAGGAAGTGCTCGAGCCTCGACTGGAACCCTGCAGCACATGCTCCTTGGCTGGGTGGCAATGCCCAGCTCGACAGGGCGGTGCGGGAACAGGTCGGTGCCCACATGGACGTCGACTTCCAAGAGCAGTGGCACCAGGCTTTCCGACACGTAGAAGAAGTCCCTGGTTGTACTTGGCATGGCCAGGATGCGCGTTGGCAGATCGGCGGCGATCCTGATCCCGTTGACGGCGTGGAACCACACGTCCAGGTCGTCGCAGTCGGTGTTCCAGTCCCCTCCGATGATCCAGTGCTCGTTCAGGGTGTTGAGCTGGTGCAGGTACTTCGCCACGGCGTCGAGGATACAAGTGTTCCCCCCCTGAGCGCCAGCGTCGACCACCAGATATGCGGACAGCATCACGATGCCGTAGGGCTGCCCCCAGTGCGCCTTGGCCGCTGCAGCTCTGCCAGGGTGCACTTCATGAGGGAGTCCAGCACGAGGGGCGGCGACCAGCACGTTGCTCGGGCTCAGGATGGCTACCCCGCCTGACGTGCCGCCTCGCTCGGTCGGCGTCGCAGGGGCCCATGCACCTCTGAACCCTTTGCCAGCAGCCTGGGCCTGGATGTCGGCCAGCTTGTCCCCCAGCGCATGGTGCCCCTGAATTAACGAAATCGATTTATCATACTGATTGGTGCCAAGCAGGTCGATGAGAGGGCCGTGGGACGACGTGTTCGCAGTGACCACATATCCTTTGACCTTATCTGCAGTCGACCTCGAGGCATCAGCTTCGTCATTAGAACGTTCTGACACTCCGCTACGATGGGGAGGGCGCGAACGTCGCGCAGGTGGTGCTCGTCCCACCTCCGACACGCCTCCAGCACCCACCGCACGTGGTAATTCTCGGGCTCGTCGGGCAAAGGGCTTGGACGAGGAGCCTGCGTCGTCATCAGCAGGCCCTGCAGGCGTCAGCCCAGGTCCCGTCCAAGGTGATGTGTAGTCGGGCAGTCTGACGGGGAAATGGCTCGCTGAGGCTGGGCACAGCCAGGCCGCTAGCACCCATCTGAATAGACTACTCGGTCCTGGCCTTCTTCTGGTGCGAGCCGAGCGCGCCCCCGAGCCTCTTGATGGCTGCGCGGAGCTGGGTCTCGTCTCCAGGAGGCTCGCCTCCGAAGGCCTCCCGCCAGAAGGTCTGAAGGTTCGGCAGGTCATCATCGTCATCAGGAGCGCATGGGCCGCTAGGAGCGTCATCTGCGGGGGCCTCCGGCGGCTGCTGCTGAGGCTGCGGTGCTCCCCCTGTGCTGGCAGCAGCGGCAGCGGCCGCGGTGCGCTCGACGGCTGCACGCTCGGCGGCCGCGCGCTCCAACTTGCGCAGCTCATCGAAATTCTTCGAGACGCTCTCGGCAAGGCTGCCGTCGGCGCCGAGCCCCTGGAGGAGCTGGCCGAGCGCGCCGACGTCCATGTCGAGGCACGGGATCGCAGCGCGGAGAGAATGGACCCCTGGCTTGGGCAGGGGCGCCTGCGAGGCCGCTGCAGCCCGCGCGGCCTCCACCTCCGCGTGCTCGCGGCTGGTAGCCTCCACGGCTGCCTCCGCCTCGGCGATCTGCTTCTGGATAGCGGCCAGCTCCTCCTTGAGCTTGCCGACTGCATTCTGCTGGCGCCCCCGCTTCTTCTCGAGCGTGGAGCACCTGTTGGTGAGGAGGTGCAGCTTGGTCCCGATCGGCTTGTCGGCCAGCACCTTCGCCCGAAGGGTGGCTTGCTGCTGGACCATGTCCTGCTTCGCCTTGACCAGGATGGGATCAGAAGGGCTCCCGATCGCCTGGATCGCCGCGGCCAGCTCGGCCAGCGCCGCCTGGGCATCTGGCTCGGTGGGCCCCGCGTCGACGTCCATGGCGTCTGGCTGTCCGTGCATGGCTGCCAGCTGCTCTTTGAGCCTGGCGATCTCACGGTTCTTCTCCTGCAAGGCGGACTTGGAGCGCTCTGCCTCGGCAGCGGCCTTGCGCTCCATGTTGGCCTTCTGCTTGCCCGAGACCGAAGGCGACCCGCTGCCTCCAGGCGGAGGCCTCGGGCCGAAGAAGACCAGGCCCTTGGGCTGCGCGCAGGACCCGCACTCCTTCTTGTCTGCATGGTTCCACCAGCGCTGTCCTGTGGACGGCTGGGTGCACCACTTGCACAGCCACTGTTGCGCCAGCTCCTGGCGCTTCTGCGAGTTGCCATTCGGCGGTGCCATGAAAGCGGGAGGCCCTCGGAAGAGGATGGCGTTCTGGCCGCACTCGTCGTTGCACAGATTGGCCCGTGTCCACGCGCCGTTTCGAAGACGTGGGACACAAGCTCGAGATTCTTCACTCAATTCAACTCGAGCCGAAACGGCTTAGGAGGAGGAGGAGGAGGAGGATGATGATGATGAGGAGGAGGAGGGAGGAGGGGGGAGGAGTTGAGGATGGAGGAGGAGGAGCAGGAGGAGGAGGAGGAGGAGGAGGAGGAGGAGGAGAAGGAGGAGGAGGTGGAGGCGCAGTCGGCGGGGAGGGGAACTGGCAGCAGCTGCAGGTGCTGAGGACGGAGTGCCCACCAGGATCTCCGTTCGCCGCCTCGCTGTGGCTGAGAGGGCGGCCCCCCTCGTGCCTGCCCTGGGGCCGCCATGCGGGCGTGCGCCTGGCTGCGCAGTTGAGGAGGGGTTGGGAACACGCGCGGCGCACTCCGCCTCTCCTCCCCCTCCTCCTCCTTCTACTCCTTCTCCCCTTCCTCCTCCAGTTCTTCCTCCCCTCCTTCCTCGGTCTCGTCTCCTAACAGTCACGGGGCTGCCATGTCCGAGGCGGGAACTGATGCATGAGCGCCGCCTGGGGGATTGATCCTCGGGGACCTCGGCAGACGGTGGGTGGGCCCAGTTGGGGCCAACATGTATCCACATCCACCGCCAGCTGGGCGACGCAAAGAGACGGGGTCGTCTGCGCCGACATTGTCGCGTGAGCTGCCCTCGTAAGGTCGCGCGTCAGCACGCTCGTCTCTAGTGTATCGTGCCGCGCTGGCGGCCCGCGTAAGCCGCCGCGTAAGGTCGCTGTGCCACCTCGCGTAAGACCCGGTTTTGGTCGTCGCCCAGCTGAGGTCCCAGGCTTTGGGTTCCACAGGCGGTGGATGTGGAAATATCCCCTCATCGAGAGCAAAAGAACCCCTAACCGTAATAACACAGTTAGGGCGTGGTCTCACTTAGGTCCCCGTCTTTTCATTACAGTCGGCCCTTATCATAAGGATGCTCGATAAAGATGCATGGGCCTTGGACGCCCATTTCGAAGCTTTTCGAACGGGGCGCGGCCAACGGAGGTGGCCAAGGATGGACCGAGGAGGCAAGGAAGGAAGCAACGGTACCCTTGGGAAGGTTGCCCATCCTTCTTCTGCGGGTTGACTGCAGGGACAATGCATCTGGGCGGTTTGGTCTGATACATCTGCAGGAAAGGCCCCCTTATCCCGAGTGTTCTTGAGGGGAACGAAACATGGCAGAAACATAAGAACTCTGAGGTCGGCGCGGATTTCTCGGATCAGCGCTGGACCCCATCCTTGGCGCGCAGAGCGCGCCAGTGGCGGCGCCGGAGGCGCCGCCAGCGGTCTCCAGCGCGGATCCGAGAAATCCGCGCGGACCTCCAAGTTATTATGTTCATGTCATTGTTCGTTCCCCTCATCGTGGCTCTCCTAACTTAGTTCGCCTCCCCAATGGGCTAGGGGTCCTTCTCTTGCTGACCATCCCCGCCTCGCAGGGCGCGCGGCCGCAGCCCATGCGTGGGCTCGTCCCGCTGACGCGCTCCCGCCGCGCCCCCCGCCACCGCGAACCCCTTTCCCGGAGGTGCCGCCTTCCCTTCGGCGCGCTCCGCCCCGAAGAGCAGCATAGAGCACGGTGGGCAATGCGCCAGGGTAAGGCAGCGAAATTTAGACATGCCCTGGGATCCTGGCGTTGCAATTCTTTCGTAAAGGGCGTGTTCCTTCAATTTCGGGCCCCAGGACCCTCACAGGTCGATCCAGCTCGAATAGTGAATGCCGCAGGAAGATGGGGTCTAGGGCTCTGGTCGTTTTTTTCACAAGGTTGCGAGTGTTTCGCGACGTCGGATCTCAGGGTATCCACTGTCCCAGGCCTGACCCACCCTGATCCTGGTAAGCATCGCAGAAGAAGGACAAGAAGAGAAATGTGAGGTCGGATCCGAGGATTAATTAGGCGGAAAGGGCGCGGGCAACTAACCAACGCAACGAACCCATCAGAACCCGCGTAACATCGAGCGATGCCTCCCTGGCAGCAAAACAAAAACAAAACCTAGGTTGCGATAGTTTTCCATCCCACGCAAAAATATTTTTTTTGTGGCGGGTTAGAAATGCAGGTTTACACGCGAATTCCCATTGCGGCGGATTGCAACAGGGTTCGTTTTGTGGCAGCCTTACATGCGCATTCGATTCTATGACGGGTTGCACGCGGATTTCTGTGGTGGCGAATTACACAGGGATTTTTTTTGTAGCATTCTGACAAAAAATGCCCCCCGGTGGCGGGAAGGGCATGGAACGCCAACAACAGCGACACAACCAACACAACCGAATGACAATCTAACAATGCCACCCTGGCAACAAAACACTAAACGGAACCTAGGTTCCTTTAGTTTCTCAATTCCCAACAAATGGGTTCCTGCTGTGGGGGATTGAAAAAAGTCTTTAGTGACAGCCGTGCAAACCGATGATTTCTGTTGTGGCGGGAAACGATCAATTATTATTTTGCGGCGGTTTGTAGAGGGGTTCTGTCGTGGACGCCTGGTCGACGACTTCTTTGTATGGCGGCATGTGCAACCAACAGACGCAGCGCAACCAACGACGCTTAAGGACGAACCAGCACCACTTCCCTGATCACCTATAATAATAAACACACGGAGGTCTTTCTTAGGTTCTGCTACAATGGAAACGTGTTCCTTTTTGAACCAGTATTTTTTGTAGCTTGCCACTGAAGGAATCCTTCTGTCATTCGGTCACAAAAGGAAACGATTTGCATTCCGCCGCGCAGTGATGTTTTATGTAATGGAAGCGCACGCGCGAACTTTAGGTTTTGTTTATTTCTTGTATGGCTAGGGGGGTGTTGCTTGGTTTCCCGCGTGTTGTGTTGGTTTTGTTGCCTTTGCTGGTTTCGCTGCCGTTTCTGCTGCATCAGTGATAATGTTGTCAGGCCGTCACAACATGCGTCCATGTGTGGGGCGCCACTAACGGATTAGTTTCTTCATGATCCGCTGCGGCAGGCGTCCTTATGTAAGACTGCCACAACAAAAAAACATAATCTGCTTGTAACGCGCCGCGCTAGGGGCCCTTTGTGCTTGGATGGAAGCACACACCAACCGTATCAGTCGTTGAATATTTTCTGTTGTCAAGGGAGGTGTTGTTGTTTTTTTCATTGTTTTTTTTGTTGGTTGTGCATGCCGTGCCCGCAACGCGTGTAATCCTTTTTACCAAGCGTCCACTATAGGAATGTATTTGCAACCCGCCGCGCACGCAATCCTTTTGTAACCCGCCGCAGACGGAGTTCTTTGTAAGGTTGCCACGTAAGGGATCATTGCTCCAAAAAGGCGTCTTTTCGTTTGGACGGGGAACAACGGGCGACTCTTAGGCTTCGTTGGTTTGTCTTTCGGTGGCCAGGGTTGGTTTGTTGGGTTTTCCGTGCGGTGTGTTGGCTTGTATTTTTTTGTTGTTTTTCCGTGCCCCCACCCGCCGCGAACGCATTTTTTTTGTAATCCGCCGTAGGGGGGGTCTTTTTGTAATCCGTCATAAAAGGGAACCTTGTGTAAGGGCACCACGCAAGGGATCTGTTTGCAAACCGCCACGTGCATGATCCTGTTGTTTGGAAGGTCGCAGCTAACGAAACATAGGTTTTGTTTGGTTTTTGTGTGCGTGTGGGGTGTGTGGGGGGGAGGGCAACCAGATTTTGTTTGGGGCTCCTTGGGTTTTGTTGATTTTGCTGCCCTGGTTTGTTTTCCATGCCGTTCCCGCCACACATGGAGTCTTTCTGGTCAGACCGCCACGAAAGGAATACTTCTGCAATCCGCCACGAAGGGGTCTTTCTGCAAATGGCTGCACAAGGAAGGGGTGCTTCTGCGAGATTGCTTCGAAAGGGGTCCCTTTGTAACCCGCCAGGGAGGACACATGTGGGACGTTGTAGGGAAACAGGATTCCTGTTATAATCCGCCACAGCAGGAATCCTTTTGTTTGGAATGGAAAGGCGAACGGAATCTAGGTTTCGTTGGTTCTTTTGTGGCCAAGGGGGTTTTGTTGGACGTTCGTAGGGTGTCGTTCTTTTTTCCCGCGTTGGTTTTCCATGCTCTTTCTGCCACGCAAGGGGATCCTCTTGTCAGGTCGCCATAAAAAATATTACCTTCGCAACGCGCAATAGAACATAACTCCATGTATAATCCGCCACAGCATGAAACCTTGTGGAAGGCTGCCGGCAAAAAATGCATATTTGCGTAACCAGCCGCGTAAGAAATCTGGTTGTTTGGAATAGAACAACTCACGGAACATAGTTGTCGTGTTTTTTTTTTTTTTTTTTTTTTTTTTTTTTTTTTTTTTCTTTGTGGTGAAGCAGTTCTCTTTAGTGCGTGTGTATTTTCATATATATGTAGCTATTATATAGGGTTTATTGGTTTTTGTTGTTTTGTGGGTTTGTGTCCTGCCGGGCCGGGCCAGTTGGCATGCGATTTCAGCCGCCCCAGCCAGGAACATTTTGTGAATGCCAGCGTGGTGTTGCATACGTCGGGGTCCGCACATGCATACGGCCGCATACCCAGGGTCAATCGCGATTAGCGTGGCGCCATTGCAAGGGAAAGACATTCATTAAGGGATCGGCACTAAATAACGAAATGCCTGAGCCAAAGAAGCACATTCTTCCTGATGGGCAGCGCCCCTTCGTCAAATTAGGCACGCAGATCATCGATCGCTTTTGGTCCCGCTTGAGGCCGCATCTGGGCAAGCGCGCGCACAAAGCCAGCAACAGGTCAATGGGGAGACGTGTTCGTTCTGCTCAGTGGTCGTACCGAGAGAAAAGGCCAAGACCTGTGGGTGCGCGCGGGTGGGGTACGAAGGGCATTTTTGTCGATGTTTAACCGCGTAGGTATTTGCAGGCGCTGCAAATCGCGTTGGGCTTAGTGGGGAATCATAGACAGGACAGTACATCGTGGATGGGGGCGCTAAAAGAGCGATCTGGTGGATCACAGGTGTGTGCGTGTGTTTGTGTGTTTGTGTGTGTGTGTGTGGGTGTGTGTGTGTGTGTGTGCGGTGTGTGTGTGTGTGTGTGTGTGTGTGTGTGTGTGCGCGTGCGTGCGTGCGTGCGTGCGTGCGTGTGTGTGTGTGTGTGTGTGTGTGTGTGTGTGTGTGGAAACAGAGTCATATTCATATATGTATATATATATACACGTGTATCTAGGCTTGGCGCACATGTATATGCATTTGTGCGTACGTGTACGTATACATACGCCCACGCATATACATCTTGCAATGTACACACATGTACAAGGGGAATAGAGAGAAAACGATCTACATATGCAGACAGACAGACACTCATAGGTTGGTATGTACATGTATATACACAGGATACATACATTTATATCGATATGTATGTATATATACAGAGAGAGAGAGAGAGAGAGAGAGAAGGAGAGAGAAAGCGAGAGAGAGAGAGAGAGAGATAGAAAGAGCGAGAGAGAGAGAGAGAGATATAGAGAGAGCGAGAGAGAGGGAGAGAGAGAGAGAGAGAGAGCTTGATTCTGCAATTGTTGTCTCCATGTGTCAAGATGAGAGAGAGCTGATGAGAGAGAGAGATGAGTAAGTGAGAGGGAGAGTGAGGGCGATGATGAGAGAGAGGGAGGGAGAGAGAAAGCAATAAACGAAATCAGAGAGAGAGAGAGAGAGAGAGGGAGAGAGAGAACGACAGAAAGGGAGAGAGCGAACAAGAGGAAATGCGATATCGAGGTGGCAAGGGGAAGCGACACAAGAAGCAGGCAGAAATCAACGAGGACATGTTTGATGTGTCAGCAATTGGCCATGAGGGATTGTGGCGGTGGCGGCGAGAACGACGCAGGCGTGCGTTGCAGTGGACACATTTCGATCTTTTGCTGGTGCTTCGGGTTCTTCGGTGATGGCTATGCGTGGGGCATATTTGCAGGTTGGCTGTGGATCGCCCTGCTCACAACTGCTCTGTTCGAGCATGAGCAACATCTCTGCAGCTATCGCGAACGACTACAATAAGTACAAGGTTCCAGGCTCAGCGGGTGCCAGATATTGGGCTCTGCTCACCCACTTCGCGCTGCGAGGGGAAGCGCGGCATTCCTAATTTGATTTCGGATACACTCGTATTCCTTGTTGACCTTCTCGTTGACCTTCTCTGGCCGACGGGTATGCTGCGGCACGATGCGCGCTGCTTTCGACAGCGGCCACACCTGGCAGACAGGACATCGCCCATATGATTAGACGTCCGTTGGTGCACCAACGTTGCATGTACTTACGTGTTGTTCATCCCGCTCCGTTCGTTGTTTCCTCTCCCTCTCCTTCTCTCTCTCTCCCTCTCCTGTACCTCCCCTGGTTATCATATACATACATTTGTCTGTATTGGTTTCTCGCGGGCGCTGGCGCTGGATTGGGATACGCGGGGCCGGTTTTTCCGGTGCCGGCACGTTCGCACTAGCCGCGCGCGTGCGCGGGCGACATAGCGTGAGGGGGGTTGAGGATATCTTTTTGTTGTTGTTTCTATTTCTTTTTTATTCTTTTTTTTTTTTTTATTTTTTATTCGTCTATTTTTTATTTCTTTTTTTATAGCATTTTTATTTTTTATTTATTTTGTTCATTTTTTTTATTTTTTTTATAATTTTTATTTTTATTTTTTGTGTTTTGTCTTTTTTTTTGTTTTTTTTTTTATCTTTATCATTATTTTTTTATCTCTCTTCGATTTTTTTTTTTTTTTTTTTTTTTATTTTTGTTATTTTTTTTCTCTCTCTCTCTCTCTCGCTCTCTCTCTCTCTCTCCCCTTTCTCTCTCCCCCTCATTCTCTCACACTCCCTCCGTTTGTGTGTCCTGCATCGTAGCGCACTGAAAAATTTAACCAGGCAGCACAATCAGCGCTGCTGATCCATTTCCAATGCAAGGCCCTGCAACCGAGTCGATCTCAAGGCACTGGAGCACGCTGTCGCCCGAAACGGGTCGTTTTCCCGCGAAAGCATTCGAACGTCTTTTGTTATTGGCTATGGAAGAAATTACGTCTGGTATGCTTATTTGGTTCCCTTCTCAGATGCACGTGTTCGCCCGTGTCTCGTTTGCGCAGTTTGGATATCTGTCGCGGGCCTCCCAACGGGGGTCTCATCGATCGTAGCGGTCAGGAGCACCGCAACCGGGAGGCTTCGTAGACCATCTCGCTTCTTCTTGCCTGCTCCTCCTCAGCCTCACGATCAGCACGTCTCCTCGCAGGACGGCCACGGGCGTCCTTCGATCGTCCTTCTGACCGTCTGCCGCCCCCCTCGCCCGCTCTCTCTCTCTCTCTCTCTCTCCCTTTTTTTTTTTTTATTTTTTCTCTCTCTCTCTCGACTCTCTCCGTCGCCCTCCCCTCGCCGCTCCCGGGCTCGTTGCGCCCTCCCCTCGGCTCCCCTCCACCTACCCGCCCTCGGCTTTCTTCCTCGTGCGCCCTCTGTCCGTCTGCCTGTCTGCGTTCCCTGGCTGGTGCGCCTCCCCCACCCCCCCTCGGTTTGCGGCCGTATTCTCCGTGCCCGACGTGGAGGAGGAGGAGGAGAGGGGAGGAGGGGCGGGAGGGAGGAGGAGGGGAGGAGGGGGAGGGGAGGGGGAGGGAGGAGGAGGAGGAGGGGAGGAGGAGGAGGAGGGAGGAGGAGGAGGATGGAGGTGGAGAAGGGAGGAGGAGAGGAGGAGGAGGAGGAGGAGGAGGAGGTGGTGGAGGAGGTGGAGGAGGGGAGGAGGAGGTGGAGGAGAGGTGGAGGAGGAGGTGGAGGTGGAGGAGGAGGAGGGGAGGAGGAGGATTGGGGGAGGTGGAGGAGGAGGGGGAGCAGCGAGGAGGGGGAGGAGGAGGAGGGGAGGAGGAGGAGGAGGGCCCACTGCGCGCCCCACAGCCCTAAGACGCTGAGCTAACGACCGCTTGGTGTTCGGAAAGGGGCTCGCTGCTTCTTAGGTTTGTGGAGGTGGATCGATGGAGGGGAAGCGTGCTGCCAGATGATTTCCAGGTGTCTAAAACACGTTTCAAATATGTCCCAGATACGTAAAGAAACATGTTTGAACCGTTTTTAGAACATTTTCTGACATGTCCAGCACATCTTTAATTCAATGATCGGATTGTTAAGGTGTCCATTGTCATGGCATCCACAACTCTAGCCCTCCTCGTGCACCCAGGCTCATTGGGTGCCAGAGAGGGGGCTTCGTTCCTCGTGTAGCGTTCCTTCTCTCAGCAGCCCGGGACTGTGTGTGTCCATCTCCCGCTCGTGCGCCCTGTTGTTTGTCTTCCTCGTGCGCCCTCGATCTTCCTCGCGCGGCCTCTCCCTGCCTGTCTGCGATCTGAGCGCGAGCGGGCAAGGGCCCCCCTCGCTGGCGGCCCCTCCGTGGGGTGCCCGGGTCCTACGCGGGCTTCATCGCGAGATGTGTCCATGGATAGGGGCACCGCGGGGAGTACGGCTTCCAGTGAGGAGGTCAACACTGCCTCCTCGTGCCGGGGATACAGCCCGGGTTGTAGGGGGATGTTCTCGAGCGGGGAGGGGGGGACCACACCGCCAGGAGTACCCTCCCTGGCTCCCCGTGCTGGTGGTGGTGGTGCCGCTTTTCCCTTGTTCCTGCAGTGCTCGATCCCCGATCCTGTCCATCCTTTCGATTTTCTTGATCCTCGATCCTCCCGATCCCCTCGATCCTCGATCCTCTCGATCCTCGCTCCTCTCGATCCTCGATCCCCTCGACCCTAATTATGGACCCTCGGTCCTGTCGATCCGATCGATCCTCGATCCACTCGATCCTCGATCGTCGATCGTCGATCCTCTCGATCCTTGATCCCTGGGGGTGGGGTGGGGGCGCGGCGTCGTGGGTCCCCATGGGGGGGGGTTGGCGGAGCACTCCCGGGTGCCAGCATCGACGTGCGATTCCTCCTCCTCCTGCCTCCTCCCTCTCTTCTTCCTCCTCCTCATCCTCCTCCTCTCCTCCTCCTCCTCCTCCTCTCCTCCTCAATCTCCATCTTCTCCTTCTCTCTCCTCTCCTCCCTTCTCTTCCTCCTCTGCTACCTCCGATTCTTCCTTTACCTGGCGCGTCGCCGTGGGGGGCGCGGTGGCGCTGGTCTGCGCATGAGGGCCGCACGGTGCTTCTCGGTGTGTCCGCGCCCGCCCGTGCGCGCGACTCAGTGGCCTTTTGGGTGTTTGGGCCCTCCCTGGTGCTTGGTGGCATATGCGGTGCCGTGCTCCCCCTGACCCCGACGTCCTCCTCCTCTCCTTCATCCTTCCTCCTCCTCCTCCTCCTTCCTCCAGCTCCTCCTCCTCTCCTCCTTCCTCCTTGCCTCGTTCCTCCCCCTCCTCCTCCTCCTCCTGGCTCCTCCTCCTCCTCTCTCCTACTTCTGCCCTCCTCTTCCTCTCCTCCTCCTCCCCTTCCTCCTCTCTCCTCCTCATCCTCTCCTCCTCCTCCTATCCTCATCCCTCCTTCCTCTCCTTCTCCTCCTCCTCCTCCTCCTCCTCTCCTCCTCCCCGCCTCCTACCTCTCCTCCGTCTACGCCACCTCCTTCCCCTCTTCCTCCCTCTCCCCCCTCCTCCATCCTCCTCCTCCTCCTCTCCTCCTCCTTCTCGTCCTCCTCCTCCTCCTCCTCCTCCTCCTCCTCCTCCGTGCTGGCTCTCAGCGTGCCGGCCCGCGTTTTGGCGAACGCATCGCGTCGTGCCTACGCTTTCGGTCTGCGTGCTGAGCTCCGTGTCAGTGCGCTGCGAGCTGCGTGTTGCGTGTCGGGGCAGCTGAACCGAGATGTCGTCGGGCCCCGGCGCGGCAGTGCTTCCAGGACTGAGAGCTCGAGGAGGCTGGAGGGCACTCCGCTCCGT